CTAATACCTTAGTTAAGGCAGACACTAAACTGTCTCCACCGTACTTAAATAACTCCGGAGTCATTCCATCGGGTGCTGCTGCTTTGCCTCGTTTCAAACTAGTGACAACCTTAGTAACCTCAGTTACGGACGGAGGACCTGTGTTTTTATCCCATTTAGGGAGATGTTGCATGCTGGTTAAGATAAGCGTGGATATAGGTCAATTGGATTGCTCCTTAGTGTTCTTTCCAATGTTCTAGTCGTCTATCCTGGGAGCTAATTATGGTGCCAATTTTCTCACATATTGTTTTACTTATCGTTTGCCTTTTACCACTTGTTTCCATGATAAGTCTAACTAATTGTCTGGTATTACCTACTGTCGATGCCTGATCCATCTCTTTCGCTCTTGTAGCCCACCACTGTTCACGGTCGTTTCAAAGACCTTTTGTAAGTTGACAATGAGAAGATCCTGATAGGAAGGAAGGAAATCGTTTCGGTAGTCGTGTGGCCAGTTAACGAGAACAGGATAAAGTGAAGATGTGCTGTTGAAGATCTACTTTTCACTTGTAAACCAAGGGAATCATTTCATATAGTAACTGAATGACTGGTTGTCTCTAGCGAAGCCGGTATATTGTCCCACCTACTGAAGAAATGCAAGATATTATGCCATGCCCTGAAGTATGTCGTTAGCTCGACAATTGAGTGCGAATATTGTATATTACTATGTTCGCGTGGTAACCTCGTCTAGTTTAGTGGGAGGTCCTAAATCCTTAAGGCGGTGGAATGTGCGCGTTGGACTCGCAAGCTAAACCAGGAATATTAGCCTAATCGCAACAGAAACTTCAAGGCATGTGAAATGTATAATAAAAATAAACCTATTCTCTCTTGAAATCTGGGAAACTTAAATACGCCAACTGGTGACGGCCTTCAGGACGCTAGTCAGCCGATGTGTCTTCTTCCGATGAAAGAAAAAGTAAGCATAGACAGAGACATGGAATGTTTACGCGATGTTCGAAGCCAAAGTGGCTGCTCAAATTGCGGAATAAGTCAGAAATTATAGTATTGAAGTGCTAGGAATCTGCGAGTGCAGGTGAAATGGGTCTGGACTGTGCTATTTGTTAACTGGAGGAGGAAAAATCTACTCCGGTCACCCAGATGACAGCCATGAGCATATTGAGGAAGTGACTATCATTGTGTCAACACCTACATCCGAAGTCCCTTTGCAGTGGATTCCAACCTCCTCCAGGACAATGAAAGCAAGAATTCACTCAAAATGTAGGAAAGTTGCAACTATTGAATGCTATGCGTCTAAAATCAAGGCAAATCAAGAGATGAGGGAGAATTTATACAGACAATTGCAAACTGTAAATGACAAGACACCAAGTGGCGATATCGAAATCCCAATAGGTAATATGATTGCTAACTTGGAAGCAGGCAGTAGAGGGAGAGAATTCATCATGGACTGAGAGGCTCCCAGCGAAATGGTGAGTGAAACTGGAGAACTCTTTGCAGACTTCTGCGCACTCGTCGATTTGATAATTGAAGGTAGCGTGTACAAACACAAGGGTATGCACGAAGTGACACAGACTTCGGCTGACGAACACGCGAAAAATCAGATAGGTTTCATGTCAATGTGAAGTGGAGAGACAACCTCCTGTACAAAGAATTGAGAAGAGGAGCTAATGTGTGTTCAGATAATGATCTAGTGGGACTCTCTCAAAGTGACGATGAAGAAAACCTGCGTAGCTCTCATGAGGGAAGAAGGGACAAGACAAGGAATGGCTCTCAACTCACACCACCTGGAAGCCAACAGCAGAGAAGAGGATGGTGGAACCGAAGATGAACAAATATAAAAACAGACAACGGAGGGAGAGTCTGCGTTCAGTGTACATCTCACTGAATAAAGAAGTGAAAAATAGTGCTAGGAGAGACAAAAGACAATTCTACTTAGCGTGTACAAACACAAGGGTGTGCACGAAGTGACACAGACCTCAGCTGACGATCACGCGAAAAATCAGATAGGTTACATGTCAATGGGAAGTAAGTTGAGAGGCATCCTTCTGTACGCAGAATCGAGAAGAGGGCAAATGTTGACTCAGACCATTATCTAGTGCAAGGAACCTTGGAGGTTAAGCCTAAAGTTTTGAAAGGAGTTTAATTTCACATCCAAGAGCTTCGGTTTAAGGCTACAAAGGACACATCCACTGAAGTTATAAAGTGGTCACTGAGTACAAGAACTTTGGAGTGGTTGTGCAACATGACTTGAAAACAACAACAAACTGTAGAGCTGCAGCCACTAAGGGTTTTCGAATATTATGGGCCATACTCAAGGCTTTTTCGAATTTTGACGCTGAAATATTTCGTATATTTTATCCGACTTATATCAGACCTCATTTCGAATATGGGATCCAGGCAGCGAGCCCGTGTTTCAAATACGAAATAGACTTATTAGAAAGGGTGCAAAGAATAGGAACTAAGCTAATAAAGGGTTTCTCAACCCTCTCATATGAGGAGATGTTAAGTCAACTGTCATACAGACCACTTAGGAGTGACCTAATACTAGCATACCGTATCCTAAGAAATGATTTTGGAGCTAATTTATCTAATTTATTTTTTTCTTCTAGCACCAACCAATTGCGAGGACATCACCTCAAGGTTCAAAGACCACGGTCGAATCGTCTGCGTGTGGAGATCCGTTTTTCGCATCGAATTGTGAACCATTGGAACTCCCTACAGGAACACTTGGTATCAGCGCCATCCATTGATTCATTCAAGGCGAGATTGGACCTCTTGTGTGCAACAAATCGAAAGGATTAACACAGGCAAATAGCCTACTATCCTAAATAAATTGTAAACTGTTAAGTCGGTGACACTTTACATGGTTGCTGAGGAAACCCCAGTAAGCTGTGTTGATCTGTAGTCGTCTTAGGAAGGAAGAAGAGGCAAGACATGCAACGGAAACCTGGTAGATGATAAAGGAGATGAAACAGAACGTGAACCAGTCCATGAATTGTAATGTTACTCACCGTTATTTAACAGAGCACAGAATAACAGTCAAATCTGTTCGCCGACTTCGAAAAGGTGTTCAACAGCGTTGACCATAGATTTATGTGAAACTGTCAAGTATTCGAGAGCTACAGGAAGTTGGTAGTGTTAAGGTGGGAGTAGGGCGTACAGGCATTGGCTGAGCCACCTAATTAGGACTACATACACTAGGATGATATGGAGGCATGAGGTTTATCCCAGTGTTCCCCTCGGAAGTGTAGTTGATAGTTTTAAGTTGGACGTGTGATACGCAAAGTCGCAAACGCATAGTAACCAAGGGCTCATTGTCACCATAGTTGATATTCTGGTGAAGTATCTCTGTCCACCCAGTCAACAAGCATCAGTAAACCTAAGGATAGCAACATGTGTAGCCAAATTTCATGGTGTGCAGTACTGGTGTAGATGAAAATCTGTTATTATTACGACAGTTTTCGAAACGTACTGACCGATGGCGACTTGTCAGAGTTGAAAAGCTATTCGCAGCAATAGTAACCATTCCTAGTATGTATAAAGAAACCACCTGTCAACGACTTTTTCATGGTATACAAGGGTAAAAGAAACTGAGTAACCCTAGGAAGCCATCACGTAACCCAACACTTGAATTCGGGGACATTCCTTGACAAACTAGGCATGAATGTTACTGTTAGTATAGTACCACTCTAGATGCGATACATTAGCTTGTTAGGCAAATTTCAGCTGACAAGGGAAAACGAATCTGTGAGAAATATACGGGAATTCGCAGCCGCATGGGTGTTGACAGCGTGTTTCATGAAATACATAAGTTTCCAATAGTAGTAAGGTAACTAATAATAATTTCTTAACGTCAAACTGGTGTTGAACAAACACACAAAAATAGGACAGCAACATAAGGGCTAGGTAAGTTTACTTCACAACTTTGTATAAGCATATCTTGTTAAAAGTGGAGACAGAATTATTGCTAACTAGTCTTCCATCCACTTATTGCGTTCCATATCCATTTCAAGCGCCACGGAAGCTTTCCGAATTCTCCCGAGTCAGCAAAACCTGAAGTCAGAGGATATGAGCGACCACAAGTCAAGTGTTTGTGCGAAAGATCATTATTTTTATTAATTAACGCCCTGATTAATCTTGCGCAATTAACACTAGTAATTTTACTACTCCATAAAACAGCCTCTTTTATTTTTCCCGATAGAAACCATACATTATGTAACTAGATGACTTCACGGTGTAGCTTTTCTCAGCACTAAATTGTTGTCCAAATTTTCCGGTTTGCCGAATTATCATTAACCAGCACTTTATAAATTGTAAGAAAAGTACATTACATTAGTGTAGAGCCGTTGGAGAATATCTGAGTGAAAAGCACTTCTTCGCTTACATTGTTTTATTCATACATATTCGACAAGAATTTCTTTAAAAGACAATTTAAAAAAAAGCTTTTAATTTGACCTATGAACTAAACAAGAGGAATGCTCACAATCGTAGGTTCGATGATTATTTCTTAAGCGCTTGCATCATTAGAAATGAGCATATACATGCAATTAATGGAGTATATTTATGCCTTGCTGTTATCACATGCTGAAAGACAATTAAAAACCTAATGTTAGTAAATATTTTCAGCCCACAAAAGATCTATGCTGAGGAGTACATTCAGAATATTAATCAAGTTAAACGCAAAAGGAGGCAATAGTGCTAAAGATTTCATTGAATACACTGTAGGAAAAAAACGATGAAACGATCAATATAACAGGAAATGAATACACAACAGTCAATTTGAACAAGAAAAAAGAACAGGAAAAGTACAGATATTATAAGCATGAAGGCTTATATGGAAAGTGATCAGTTATAAAGGAATCATAAAACTAAGACTATATGAGAAGCTATATATATATATATATATATATATATAGATGCATCACATTACTGCTAAATGAAGAGCAACTATACAGGCAGTGTATTCAGCGTTAATGTACATTAATTTTATCCCATCCTGACTGTCACTAGATAATGTTCGAGTCACTTCTGGGGGAGGTGGGAGTTCCAATTCTTTGACGTTTACTAGTTACTGAAAATCTGGATAGCGGATCAAGAAGATCTGAAAGGGAAGATGAAACAGTAAAAGTAACCTTTACAGAACATCAACGAATATTCAGCACAACATATACGACACCAATTAGAAATAATTTGTCAAAACAAGTTTGTGGTTGTTTAAATGACATGAATTATAGGGATATACTCCACCAATTTTACTTCCTTCTATAGGATTATAGCAATTTCAATTTCAACTATCTTCAAAGATAAACTTTTACTATGAATGCATCTCGATATGGGTATAAAAAATGGCACTTGTAACCTAGTAAATAAAAAAATTCTGCATATAATGATAATAGCCTACTGGTTTACGAAAAATAGAACTATAGACAGAAGCTTTAAATCAAATTTAAATGCTCATTTTTGTGTTAAATGTAAATAAAGTGAAATATACAATTTGGTTATCTATCGATACTGATTCTACATAAATGCTCGGAAAAAACAAAAAACAACTAATACTTGCGAATTAGTCCAGATGTTAAAATGTTGGGACATGGAGAACAGTACCAATGCAATACGTAAGTAGGCACGGTTGGTTAGGTTACTAAATTTTTTTAGTGAAAACTGTCAAGCCAATACAACCGAACTTTATGAAAGTTATCATTGTTTGACAGTTTGGGTGATCGTTTTTTTCGTACATCACTTGTGTTGTAAGACATTTTCTAAACGATTAACACGTTAAAGCATCAGTCACTACACATGAACTTCTCTAATTATTCATAAGTACGGATGAAAATCTACATATTAATAATTCCTACAGTTCTGCTTCTCATCGTTTATCTCAATTTACACCTATTTCATTATAATATAAAGTTTCCACAACATTGATGTATCTGAAAATCATGAAAACTTTAAAAAAGAAAATAAATAATAAAAAGTATTCATTTTGTTAATAATACTAAGGCTTATATATCTACATTTGTTACAAATATTAACTAGAAAAAATATACTGATTAGCCTGTTGAGTAAGAGTAACGCATGCATAAATGGAAAATGCAAAGGATGAACACGGTTAAGCTTTATTGATGGAGATTCTGTGTATAACCTGACCGGTTACGCCTAATTGTAGTGTGTGACAGCGTAAACGTCAGTGATTTATACACCAGATAAGGAAATTTATTTGGGTTTTCACGCCTGTTTTAGAAATGATTTAAATCAAGACTGTCAATCTATACGTCATCCTCCCAGTGCACTGATAACTAATCCACCGGCCGACTGCACCGACTGTTATTGTGACTGAAGAAGGACTACACACGCTTCATTAAATATAATAAGCTAATGGGTTCTCATCAAAGTGGTATCAGCATTCCGAAATAATTATTCATCGGTAAATATATTACGAAAAATCCTTTTGTTTATAGTCATTAAAGCCTTATCAATATACAACATTCCGAAATAATTTAAATTTGCATCTTTTAACAGATGAATATTTTTTTCATATTTTATTATAGTTTGATTCCACACAGTATTTTGGTACAAGTATGAAGTTTTCAGCATGTGATACCGGTAGCCCAAATTTAGCAGGCCGACCGTAGATATCAGGTGTGCGTCGGCGGGGGGTCGAACCTCGGACCATGTGCATGGTCGGCGAGAGTCCTAACCGCTGTGCCACCGACGGCACATGAAAATATGAAGGAGTCACTGGGCAGAGAGTGATTTCTTGTCAAATGACGTGTGGTTGCTTTTCTGTTCCCTATGACAGTCACACACAGCTATGAAATGTTCTGCATGGTAACATCATATTAGATGTTATAGGAAGACTGTTTTCGGAATGGTCTGGTTAGACTACTTGGCTTTGCTGATTTTCAACATTTATCAGTAACACCTACCCTATAGTTTGGTGAGAATTTATATAGATAGTACATTTAGCGTAACAAAAGACACAAAATGGTTTTCCCAACACATCAACTCGAAAACAATTCAATCCGCTTATGAACTGGGGATTCAGGACGAGGAGCTTCCTATGTTAGATTGCAAGATAAAAAGGAAAGAAGATGGAAAGTTGAACACTGTCGTTTTCAGAAAAACCCACACACCCAAATCGATATCTGGATTTCGGATCATTCCACTCCAAGTCAGTAGAAATAGGATTGGTGAAATGTTTAATTAATAGGCCACAAAAACAAAATAGCACTAAGCAAAATCTAAAACAGGAAGTGAGGCATATAACAGAAGCTTCAAAACTTAATAACTACCCTGATAAATTAATCTGGAAGCATACGGGAAAATGTAGAAATAGAATTCATAATAATGGAAGTGATAATAATAATGTGAATGACAAAATGCATGACAAATATGCACAGAATGATGACAACATCAACAATAAGGAATTAAAATCATCATTAGTGCTTCCATACAAAGATGGAACCTCGGAAACCTTAATGAGAATTCTTAACGATCGAGGAATGAAAGTGTCATTCAAGTCTACAAACTCAATTAGACACAAACTTTGTTGGCTGAAAGATCATCTGATGAAGTCAGTTAAATAAAACAATTCAGTTTATTTAATACCCTGTCATGTTTGTCAGGTTAAAATAGTAGATCGGGGTCAATCCGATTAGGGAAGCACAAAAACCTAGCAAAATCTAGATTAGTTGCCCCTTGAAGCGCTTTTCAATTAGTACACTACGTTTGCTTAGTTACATAAAACTCTTATTTCTGTTCTTTTTGGCCAGAGAGTTGGGGAATTTATTTCATTTATTTTACATTCGAACACTGAACCTGTGGACATTATCTTATTGACTTATAATACCTATAACTCACTGTTTGGTATTTTGTGACTGTTTAACACTAATTAATATCTGTAATTGTATATATTGTTGGATTTACATACCTAAGTTGACCCCAATTAGTGAGTCTATGGTTTTGATATCATTTTTAATAACTGTATTTGACAGTGATACTACTGCTACGGTTTTTTTATTGTCGTTGTCGCTGCCTTTCCAGTTGTGAATTTCTTTCCCTTTGCTAGCGTTCTTCTGATTGCTTTTTTTCCTTGTTTTCCTGATTCCAAGAGGAGCAAACAATAAAGTCCCTCTTCTGGAAACTACATACACATGTAACAACCCCCTTCTCGAGCATGAGGCTAGCAACCCCACCCTGAAAACAAAGCAGGTACAGAAACTTCGGTACGATGAATCTGCGTGCAACAAAACAAAAAGGTTGAATGAGGGCATGGAACATCCGCACCATGTATGCAGCTGGCAAAGCTGCCCAGATTGCAACGAGATAGAAAGATATGGTATTTCAGTACTGGGAATATGTGAGAGCAGATGGAATATAAGTGGACTCATCAAATTGTCAACGGGAGAGTCGATGATCTACTCCGGAAACTCAGAAGATCACCACTAGCAAACCGAGGGTGTGGCTATCATGATGTCACCAATGACAACGAAGGCCCTGACACAATGAGAGGCGAACTCGCCCCGCATAAAGACCGCCAGATACAACTCAAAAGGATGGAAAGTGAAATTTATAAAATGCCATGCACCCACAAACAACGCAGACCTCGAAAAGATGAGTCCTACAGAAAACTACAGGCAACACTGAACCATACTCCACTTGGTGATATTAAAATTCGAATGGTAGACATAAACGCAAAACTGAAACCAGATAACGAAGAGAACCCATCACGGGTAGAGAAGCACTCGAAAAGATGAATCAAAATGGAGAACTCTTCGCTGACTTCTGCGCCTTCAATGAACTAGTGTTTGATGGCAGCGTATACAAGCACAGGGATATCCACAAAGCTACATGGGTGTCGCCAGACGGGCGAACCAAAAACTAAATTGACTTCATCTCAATCTCAAGGAAGTGGAGACGCAGCTTGCTGCATACAAAGGTAAGAAGAGGAGCAGACGTTGGCTCAGACCACTATCTCGTACAAGGAACACTCCAAATCAAATTAAAAACTTTTCAAAGAAACAGAAGCTGCAGATAAACCACAAACAGTGGCTCACTACGGACACATGAAGACTGATAGAAGAGATAAGGATGGTGAAACAAAAGATTATCTAGTGCATCGACGAGCAAAAAAACAGGAGTTGAATGCGAGCTATAATGTACTGAACAAAAGAGTAAAGAAAAGTGCCAGGGAAGAAAAAAGAAAATATTATGAAACTATGGCAAGTGAAGTAGAACAAGCTGCAGGCAAAGGAGACCTCGCAACACTCTACCAATCAACTAGGTTCCTATCGGGGAAGAGATCAACACAAATTAAGCCAGTGAAGGATGACGATGGAAAGTCAATCAATAAAGAGGTGGAGCAAAGGAAACACTGGGCTGAACACTCCAAAAGACTTCTAAATCGACCGCCACCTACAACGAACCCAATAATACGTACAGCGTAAGCAGAACTACTAGTGGACATCAACCCTCCGACGAAAACAGAAACCCTGAAGGCAATAAGGATGCTAAAAAAACTGGAAAAGCAGCAGGACCAGACGGAATCCCAGCAGAGGCAATGAAAATGGACCCCGACACATCAGCGGACTTCATGACACCACTACTGAAGAAGGTGTAGAAAGAGGGCAAGGTACCTGCGGATTAGAAGAAAAGCTACTTATTCAAACTACCAAAGAAAGGAGACTTAAGTCAATGCAAGAACTGGCGCTACATTATGCCCCTGTCCATTCCAAGCAAAATACTAAGCCGCATCATCCTGGAGAGAATCAAACAAGCCCTGGATGACAACTTCTACCGGAACAGTCTGGATTCAGGAGAAACAAGTCATGCATTGGTCAAATCACAACACTACGGGTCATCATTGAACGGAGCTTGGAATGGCAGTCAGCTCTCTACCTCAACTTCATTGACTTTGAAAAGGCATTCGACAGCGTTGATCGAGAGGTGATTTCGCAACTACTTCGCTACTACGGGGTGCCGCCAACAATTATACATCTCATCCAACAGTTGTACGACAACGCTGCATGCCGAGTAATCCACAACGGGAAACTCACGGAATCCTTCGAAATGAAGACGGGAGTAAGACAAGCTGGCTGCCTA